GGTATTCCATATACTCACCATCTCCTATTTTTTGAGCCTAGGAAGATAACGTCTGTAACTATTTCAAGCTATCCTCTGCCTTTGCATTGGGTCATCATTACCTATTAACATAATTTTTAAAAAAATATTGAGCAGCAATCTAGTTTTTGTACTCTTTTCTTTCATCTTCAACAAGGACACTAATTTTGCATTTCCCTTGCTAACTATTTTCAGAAATGGCCTATTAACTGCTTCAAAGAAATTGGGCACTTTTATAGAGACAAGACTGGAAATATCAGGTAAGTGCCTTCAATCCTTAAAATAAGAAAATGAACATGCATCTTTATAACCTTTAAGAATTTAAAATGGACCACATAATATTTAAGTAGACCACCAGTTAAGTATTAGTCAGCAGTATGCTGAAGCTGCCAAAAAGGCCAATGCAGTCATAGGCTGCATTAACAGAGGGATATCATCAAGATTATGAGAAATAGAAAAAATATGTTGAGACCCTAGAAAGAGTACAGAGAACAGCAACAATGATGACAAGGGGTTGGAGGGTAAATTGTATGATGAATGGTTAAGGGAACTAAGTATGTCTAGTCTAACGAAGAGAAGGTTTAGGAGTGACATGATAGCTATCTTACAACACTGGAAGGCTGTCACAGAGAACAGAGGTCAACTTATTCTCCAAAGCACCTGAGAGTAGGACAAGAAGCAATGGGTAAAAGCTCATTAAAGAGAGATTCGACCTAGTATTAAGGAGACAGCATTTAAACTAACTCTGTATCTGTCTTTTTACTTAAAGCAAGGGAATTTTGTGAACTTGTTCTTTTTAAAGAAGAAATTGTCTCTTTTTAAATGTTAAATTTTAGTCTTTTGTTTATATTAAGATACTGCCATTACTTTGAATTTGCTAAATGTGGACTTGTTTATGTATTTGTTTTAGAGCATTACAGTACTGCACTGTATCTGGCCAGGGCCTGATTGAAGCAAGTGATGTCCTAAAATACAGCTCAACAATAGTGCCCCTAAGCCCATCCGTTACCTAATTGACATTAAGATTTGGTAAGTACTGAATGTGCTTATTCTATTTAATGATTAATCCAGGACTGCATCTGGCCTTTAGGGATCCATGATCATATTGTTTATTCTGGAATGTCTGCTTCTTCAAATGTTAAAAGCCTGAAAACTGAGGCTAATAGTGCACAGTATGTTCTATCTCTTGCTTCTGGTTACTACTATACGGCTATATTTGCTTTTTGTCTTCCATATATATTGAGTACAGGCAGTCCTTGATTTACAATGCCAATTGAGACCAGAATTTTCATCATTAAATGACAGAGGTTGCATTTTACGACTGCACTGCTTAGCAGCAGCATTCCCTGTGGTCGCAGTTGCCACTGTTAACTGAATCCCACGGATTTATTAGGCGAGGCAACTTTCTGCTGACTTCCCACAACCAAAGTCAGCGAGGAAAGTGGCAGGACATTGCAAATTCAAGGCTTGCAGGCAGGCTAGTGGCTGCTGCTACGTAGGGAGCAAGGAGTGTGCATGGGTGCAAGGGAGAATCGCAGAGGGTGTGCAAAAAGTGTGGCATGGGTTGGTTGTCCACGAGAGCTGCATATCAGGCAGGGTGTCTCGGGGTGTGCAAGAGTCATTGTATGGTTTAGGGGTGCATGAGTGGCTAGCCCAGTGAAAGTGCAAAGACTGAAGAGGTGCGTAGGTATGGGTTACTTACTCCAGAAGCTTGCAACCTTCTCTGCTAGGTTGCCCACTGATTTCCTCACTGAAGTCGGCATGGAAGATTGCAAATGGCAATCATGTGATCGCGTTGAGGGGTGGGATGGCCAGAACTCAGAGAACTAATTGTAACTACCAGTAGCTGACTGAATATATATTGAGGATCACTTGCACATTTCCTTTGTCATTATCTTTTGTAGTGCCCTTGCCAATTTAATCTGGTAAAACTTTACTGGTCTCTCATTAATCCTCTGATTTCAATTACTATTGAACATTTGCTACTTCTGCAAATATATGCCACATTGTTTTCAGATAGGAAAGATGACTTAAGCATTTCAGATCACAACTATAGAATTCTTAGTCACCTTTGTTCCTTAAGGCATCATTAGTAGGTTTATATTTCTTTTTGTTTCTTTCTCTGTCTCTCAGTTTAGCCAGTTATACAATATTCACTTAAAAAGAAAATTCAGTATTGAACTCAACTGGCAGACTTTCAGTAGCTCTTCCTGTTAATTCACTCAGTGAGCCCAGTCCCTAAAACCTACCTATCTTATATTTTCTTTTATTTCTGCTGACCCAATAAGAAACAATTGTACCATCACTCACAATGGATAATCAAGAGCTCTCTGGAAATATCTTTTGCAATTAGAACCTATTTGGGGAAAAAAAAAACCATTTCATCCCTCAGAGCTGAATATATAACTTTCTGATCACTCTGCTCTTTTCCCTTTTTTTTACAGCTTGGAAGTCTTCGGAAATGGTATGACATACTGAATGAACTTGCAAACGAATGAACTTCTTCGCATTTAACTCCACTGCCAAATTCCTGTTTACTTTCTGTGATTGCTTGTCATACAGCATTGCCTTCCCAAACTCATTATCATCCAAAGGTTGGTCTGGCTTAATATAAAATTCTTTATTTCTGTATCGTTTATCTTAAAAATTACTGCTTTAGTCTGAAAACAATGTTATTACTGTTAACAAACTGCACTGGCCTAGATGTTTGTTTCACCAGACTTTTGAAAATACAATGAACATTATTCCAGTTGGCTTTCTTACTGAAATTATCAAAATGATTCAAGCTGATACTTTTAAAACTGAGTCTGAAATGAACTAATGAACATTTAATAAAAATACCAATTACCTATTTCTGGTTCTAAGATTAAATAAAGATATTATTTTTAAATCTTTTATTGTTGATTGGAAATATATTTTCCATAGTTAAGCCTATGTTTAAAAAACAAGAGTCTAATAAAGTAACATTTTCTAACTAGCTTTAAGATTTGGTTCATATACATTGTTTATGTAGCCTTGTTATACTGTACAATATTTGAAAGTACAACTGAGACTCACATACTTTAAGTTATTAATAGTACATTTTTTTACTCAAAGCTAAATATTTATTCTGAAATATTGGATTGCATTTTCATTTTGTAAGAAACTTACAAAAGGCAGTCAAATTTCAATAGCACAATGTGATGGTGCAGTGAAAGTCCCTAAGCCTGTGTTGGACTGCAAGTATAGGTTAACAATATGACTACTCCTCATAAGAGGGTTAAAAAATGGCTTATGGGAGTTTAGGCATTTGTATTCAATGGATTCATTCCATTCAGAGAAATTCCTTGGCACTGCAGAATCTTAGGTGCATAAACAATTTTTGACAATTTTTCTGCCCATCTCTGGTAGCTTACCATAGCCAGACACTAGATGACAACAGGAAAATCAAGAAATGTTGTTGCCATCCCTGATTTTTTGCAGTTCAGGCATTGTAAGATTATGCTATAACTTTCACAGCTTTCTGAAAGACACTCCCCACCCCACAAACACCCTCCCCACATGTCTATGTATGCGTACCTGTATGTGTATGTATGCGTGTGTGTGTATGTAAATAAATGAAACACATCTAGAGGGTTATTTGTGCTCATTTTCAGATTTGACTTCCTGAAATCACATTTTCTACTAATCTTTCACCTTTTTCTATACATATTCAACATACCAGTCTGAGCTGCGGTGCAAAGGCTACTGAAACAGTATCAAAAGGACAGTCAAGAATGAGGCCAGCATTCAGGAGGCAAATGTGAGAATATGGGATTAGAGAGAGTGGAAAAAATAGTTCCAAGATCATATGGTTCTAATCTGCTTTGCAGTCTTAACTACAGTGTTCTTGTAATTAAAAAAATGTTGCCATTCTTAGTTTTTATGTGTTAACAATATCAAAAGTGTCAGCAGAATTTACTTAACAAGTTTCTTTGCTCGTGTTATTTCTTACAACAGACGTGTGAAAAGATACAAATCTTTTTTAAACTTGACTTTTAATTTATTCTGTTTGATAGGTGTTATTAGCATGTTCCCATTATCAAATACTATTCATGTATACACAATAATTATCAAAAGAAATATGAAGAAAACATCTGTCATCCTAATAACTAATAATTGTCTTTTACATACACATTATTAATAGCATTGTTCTTATTCATTTCTTTCTAATGTCTTGAGAAAACCTGATAATTTGCTTGAATATGTGCATCATTATAACAAACTTCAAGAAACTCCGGGGATCTGTAAATGCTGAGGAGTTTATTTCCACACCACATGGTCTCAAAAAACTCTTAAAACAAGACCAGTTATAATTTAGTATGCCCAGAGTTCTCAGTGCTTTTCCCCAAAGAAGGGAATTTTTTAACAGACACTGTACATATTCAGTTGAACTATTTGACAGCCATTTAAAAACTCTTTTGTACAATCAATGCAAGAATACCGACATTAAAAGTACAGTACAGATAAATTCACAATCATATAGCAGTGAAAGAGATTGAAATCTAGACAGTGAGAGTACTGAAGCATCGTGTACATGCACTAAAGTGCTAACAATCTAAAGACATGCAGATCTTGAGTGTGTGTTTACTGTACGGCTCACTTCCACTCTTCCTTCTCCCATTTCTAAACAGTTCATATTCTCTATATTCCCTTCTAATTTAAGATAACTTTAGTCAACCAGTTCAAGGGTTTCCTTCACTAACATTTACTGCTTCAGTTATGCTAAAGCACCTTTATAAATTTTTTTTAAAAGAAACCAAAATGAATAAAATTAAGAATCTGATATTAAACCAAGGAGGCAGAAAAATAGCCAAATAATCTAAATCTCAACAGTGCAAACATATTACAAGGCAGTCAGCAGTTAAGAGAGCGAGAGAGAGAACAGATTCACTGTCTCTTTGAAACAAAATTTATTTATTTAAAATCTTACCTTTATCCGTATCATTTTTAGATTCTTTTAGTTAATATACTGTGTGTAGAAAAGATGGTGGCAAAAATAGTTTTCTGAGCTATGAAAAAATAAGTTATTAACAGGCACATTAGCTGTTTCATTCTAGAAACATCAGGGTTTCTCTAGTTGTATACTAAGAAGCTGCATTCTAGAACATTCTTTGAACACTGGAACTTCTCACTGACAGAGACTGGCCATGATAATGGATCCATCATACAAAAGATAGCAAATTATGATGTGATAATTCATGCAGGTTTGTGTCATTGGTTTGAATTCTCTAATAGCAGTTTCTGGTTTACATAGTCTTCTGAAGTGAGGCAGTAGGAGAATGTAAGGCCCATCGGGATGGTGGGCGCTGATTTGCTGGTCTCTCAGGTCTAGAGAAGCAGGATTCTAAGGATGGAGCCAGTGCAGAACAAGGTAGTTCCTTTATTGTGAGAAAGATGGAAAAAGAACAATTTTATTAATTCATACAGTACACAAGGGAGGAAAACAGTATTTAAATATGTACATGTATAATTTGAAAAAAGCAGCATTTTTTGGATATTGTTTTGAAATGTTCAGTCTGTTCCACTTACAGTCAATAAGAATAAAATGAATGAAGAGTTGTATGTAGTAAAGCAATCTGTAACCCTTTAAATTCTCATAATCTTCAACTCTTAACAGTCCCAGTTAGCAGAAATAATGTTAATAAGATGCTGGGAGTTGTACATCAGCAATCTCTAGATGACCATAGCTTACATGGTCTTAAATGATCTGATAATCATTCATTCACATTCTATAACCACATAAATAAACAAGACAAGGTAATAGTAAAATCCTGTGATGTCCACAAGATTGAAGAACAGTGTCATAGTTGTACAGCAGGGGTCCCCAACACCTGGAGACCAGCATCGGATTGCAGCATGCCAGCAACTGGGCCGTGTACACAGTGAAGCTGCACCCACGGGATGCAGACAGCATGCAAGACCAAGTCCCCTCTGGTCCATGGAAAAACCTTTCTCCCTGGTGCCCCAAAGGTTGGGGGCTGCTGCTATATATGTCACCAATTATGTGAACCCCATCAGTCAAGGATTTTTGGCTGATGGGGTCTAGGAGAAGAGCCTTTTCTGCCATGTTTCCTCTCCTTTGGAACATCGTAGCCCCTAAGGTGAGAGCCACACCAACCCTTTTCACCTCCTGCCAGTTGGCCTGGGGCCCATATATAGAAACCAAATTTTGAGTTAGGTTATTTAAGAATTACAATCTTTCAAATTAAAATATAATATTTAGCTGAAGAACAGACACAGAATTTAATAACTCTTAGTATATTAAATTTGGATCAAAGAGCAACAAGCTCTGATATACAGGTAGTCCTCAACTTACAACAGTTCATTAAGTGACTGTTCGAAGTTACGACACTGAAAAAAGTATATGACCATTTTTCACACTTATGACCATCACAGCATCCCCATAGTCATGTGATTTATATTCAGATGCTTGACATCTGACTCACATTTATGACCGTTGCAGTGTCCCAAGGTCATGTGATCACTTTTTTCAACCTTCTGACAAGCAAAGTCAATGGGGAAACTAGATTCACTTAACAACCGGGTTACTAATTTAACAACTGTAGTCAGAGGCGTAGCGTGGGGGGTGCAGGGGGGGCCGGCCGCACCGGCCGCAACATCTGGGGGGGCGCACTCGCACTCACAGCTCTCTGCCCCTGCCTGGCTCACTCATTCACTCTGCAGTGCTGGCTGTGCGAATCCGATCCGAGCCGCCGGGTCGCCGTCCACTGTGGAGGGGGGGGCGCAAATTACTTGCCTTGCCCCGGGTGCTGACAACCCACGCTACGCCACTGACTGTAGTGACTCAGTTAACAAATGTGGTAAGAAAAAAATCGTAAAATGGGGCAAAACTCACTTAACAAATTTCTCACTTAGCAACTTAAATTTTGGGCTCAACTGTGGTCGTACATTGAGGGCTATCTGTATCATTGGTCATCATCACTAATTTAAAATGCTCTTAAATAAACCACTGCTAAACAACACATACTACTAATAGAATTTGGTGCCATTTTTGGAATTTTTAACTAAACAGTTCCAGATTGCTTCAAGTTGGATTCTTAGCTGTATAAATTTGCTCTGCAACATGAGTCTATTAAAGGGTGAAACTGGAGAATTAAATGTAATGAAGGTTATTCAATTATTAAATTATATTAGCACAATATTAAGACCTACTTTTGTTTTAAAAATGCAATATTTTACAGTGGCAGTTTATTTATATTTCAGAGCTGATAATGATTGTTAACAAGGATTGAGTTTTCACCATTTTCCCCGTAGTGTGCTGCAATGTAAAATAAAGTTCAGAGGTGTAAAATTATAAAAGCAGAATTTCAAAGCCCTTGGAAAAAAGTATTGGATTTGCTGAGATAAAGAGGTGTGTTCACAAAGTTCTAGTTGTTTTGCAGGTGAGAGTGACATGTACAGCATACTCAATAAGATAAAAATGTACACAGCAACATATAAAATAGAATCTTTTAACACACAGGTAGGATTATGGAATGGCAAGTGCCAAAAACACAAGTTGAATAAAGTGATGGGTTTTTTCTACTATGCTATAAATATGGAACAAAGAAGAAACAAAGATTACAAGAAATGGTAGTTGATAATGTGATTTGAAAGAGACCAAATACTATCATAACTCATTCATTCAAAGAGAAGTCCCATCAAAATTCAACATGTTCATGCAGAATGGTACACAGGAAAAAGCGCATATGGAAGCAAAAGATGTTAAGAAATGAAGAAAATGAAAACTGTTGTACTTATGCTGCTGTCTTTAAACTACTTCAAGGATCAGCTGTTTTTATAGAGGCAAAAAACATTCAAACACTTTGTGAACAATGTCTGAAAATGAGCAGGAAAGATGGTATATAATTCTGACATGTATGCTATATTTCCCTGAAGTGGCTAGTGTTGGAGAGTCAAACTTTCAACAAGAGCTAAAAATATAGTAATCAGTCAAGATCTCTTCACCAATATTTAAAAGTAGGAATAGCATGAAAGAAATGGAGCCAGGTTTTTTTAAAACAAATCTATAGACCTTTTATTTAGAAGCTTTTCAAGAAACAATGAAGATAAGAATACAGCCACCTACGCATTTCTAAGGCATTCATGGTTGCTGTATCAAGTGCTATTCTGTGGCTTATTTCCTGACTGCTTCTTCTTTTACTCTTGATAATTGATCCTAAAATGCTGAAGCTACCATATCTTCGGGTGGGTGGAGGTATTTTTGAGTCAATATTGAGGGGTGATTGCCTGAAATGATTTGCCAATGCCTCCTTCCTAGAGGTGAGAACGTGTTCCTGGCCCAAGATCACCCAACTGATTTTGCATGTAAGTCAGGACCAGAACTCACAGTCTGATTTCTAGCCCATTGCTTTAACCACTACACAAAACTGGCCCTCACTACACAAAACTGACTCTCAGAGACTATCTACCAGTTCAATGTTTTTGTTGTCAATTTTAAGGTTGGTTGTGCGTATTCTTTACTTTTGTTCCTTGACCTTTAGTACTAGGACTGGCAGATCCCTTGCATTTTCAGCCTTTAGATCAGGGCCATTAGCATAGTTCAGGTCATTGATGTTTCTTCCTCCAGTTTTTAAAACATGCTAAGCTTCCAATTCAGCTTCCCAACATATCTTCTTCTTCTTGTGCCATATCCGTTATCAGACGATGGCGATCATGTTGGCGATCCTGTTTTTATCAGCAGCTGCACAAAAAAGTGCTGCTGAGTTTTGTCCAAACCAGTCCCTTAGATTTTGAAGCCATGACGTTCTTTTTCTGCCTGGACCTCGTTTGCCTTCAATCTTTCCCTGGAGGATTAAATGGAGTATGCTGTATTTTTCTGGGTGTTGCATCACATGTCCGAAATATTCTAATTTTCGTTTTTTAATTGTTTTGATGTTTTCCCTTGGCTTTCCCAGGCGGCTTATCACCTCCTCATTTCTGATCTTGTCAACCCAGCTTATACATAACAGCCGCCTGTAAATTCACATTTCAAATGCTTCTAGTCTCTTCAGGTGGTCTTCTATCAGAGACCAACTTTCTACTCCATAGAGCAGGATAGAAAAAATATAGCATCTGACAAGCCTGATTTTTAGTCTTAGGCTTATGTCGTGACTGCAAAAGACCTTTTTCATTTTGAAGAATGCTGTTCGAGCTGTCTCTATCCTTGTCTTTACTTCAGTTTCCCAACATATAGGTTGAATAAATATGGAGCAAATATATAATTTTGTCTCACTTCTTTATTAATCTGGAACCAGTATATTTTGCCATTTTCTATCTGTACTATGGTTAAGGGGAGTGTATAGGTTTCACAAGAGGACAATGAGACATTCTGGGATTACCATTTTTTTGAGCGTATTCCATAGCTTAATGTGATCAACACAAGGCCTTTCTGTAATCAACGAAGCACATACAGCACTGACTTGTTTTGATATTCTTGTTTTTTTTCAATTATCCAGTATATCTCAGCAATAATGTCTTGTTTCCCTCAGCTTTTTCTAAAGCCAGCTTGAATATTTGGCATCTCCTTTCCCATGTAGGTCTCTAACCTGTGTTGGTTGATCTTAAGTATTATTTTACTAGCGATTGAAATTAAGGTTATTAATTATACTGTGCACATTAGATTGGAAAAAATCAGTACATTCTCCTCCTCTTCCATTTAAGTTTCCTAAGCCATACAACTACATTTCCCCCCTTAATATTTTCAATTTTGGCATTCAGTCTTTAATCATAAAGAGGGCATCTTGCTTCCGTATTGTTTATTTTAAACTGAATTCATCATAAAATTCAACAACCTCTTCTTCTTCTGCATCAGTGGTTGGATTATAAAATTGGATAACTGTAATATTAAAGGCTGGACTACCACCTGACCTGAGAGGCACTCATTTAATATTTTCTATCCATGTAGGTTTATCGATAAAAGTACAGATGTGATTTACCATTGCCTTTTCTCATGCAGTATGAAGTAATTCCTTTGCTGTTGTCACTGAAGTGATCATCTGTCGCTTGCAACTTCCTATATTGCTGTTGTTCAGTATAGGTGCTTGCTGCTTTAACTGGGCAGCTGGGAGGGCCTTCACCCTTTGGAGGACCCTGCTGGGAATGTATACTCGTTGCATATGCTCCTGGTGTTCTTCTATCATACCTCCCAGGAACACCTTCCCTGCTCTACCATGAAACAGCACTTCAGGGGAAGTTGACAGGCATACTGGTCTGTAATTTGAATGTGCTTTTGTGCCTTTTGTCTTCTTTAGATACAGTATGTTATACATTTTAAGTACTATAAAGTTCTATCCTTCACACTCTTAATTAGACATAGTTTCAACTGAACTCTTATCACTTTAATATAAGACTATATGACTGACTGTGAATAAAAGCA